TTTCTTATTTCCTTTATTTATAATTTTATGAAACAATTTATTTTTCCTAGAGAATTCTATCCTTAATTCTATGTTACTAGTATTATCGCCCAGTATTGTTTGGATATGAGGGAAGCTCCTGACAGGTAGGAATAGCTGGAGAGGAAGATGGTATTGTTATGAGAGAGAAATTTGAGGAAGAAGAAAAGGGGTAGACGCAGGGAGGAGATAAGTCATGGATAGGTAAGGAGGAGAGGGCAGAGAGACGGAGAGGAAGAGAAGTGGTGGCGATATCGCTCAATTTATTAATGTTAAGGCGATTGAAACATGAAGTTATATTATTAGCTATTGTTTATTAAATATAAACACACATCATTTGAGTAGTAAGCGGGTGTAATAGGTTTTTTTTCAGCGTTGTATGTAATTTTGTCAGCTCCTAAATACCCCTGATTTATTATTCTTTAACATAGTCTGAGCATTTTTTTTTTTTTTAGATAGTGGACAGTGACTGTCTGTGGAATCTGTTTATTGTCGAAGAAAACCGGAGGTCATGTTTCATGACGAAGGGTAAACATGATGTGCTGTGATTTGTCTTGGTTTAGGCGGATTTTCCACAGTTTGGACCACTTATGTAGTTTTGTTACACACTATTGTAGAGTCTGTGAGGCGAATGTTGGATTTTTGTGTCGTCTGTATTGTACAAAATCGCTTTATCGTATTCAAATGTGCTGTTAGAATGTTGGAACTACATCATGGGTAGAGATGGGCAAAATTGTACTCTGAGTAAAAAGTATAATTACAGAGTAATTTACTCAAATACTCGCCCAGTTCGAGTATCGAGTACTTCAATCACTACTCGACCTCATGATTGACGAGTACAAAAAGTAATCAGCTGTCCTCGTGAGTACTTTCTATTTTCAAATCTACTCGGGAATATTTTACTCTGAGTACTTTTCAAAGTAATCGAGTATTTCATTATAAAAATTACAGGAGTAGAATATTTAATATTTCTTCCATATTTAAGTCCATTGTTATCTTATAGGGGTATAGTTTTTTAAATAGTATCGATATTAATGTAAATCGATATATAAAAGAATTATTGAAATATTTTGGATTTAATCAACTTTGGGGACCTTTTTTTTTTCTACACCACTTGACTTTTATGATAATGCTGTCGGATTTGAGATAGTGCCCTCGGGGCCCGACTTTTTGTAACTTTTCGGATTATATCGATATCAGGGTCGACTAATATGTTTTGGGGGGCGCTTTTTAAGAAAATGATATCGAATTTTAGATAGTGCCCCCGGGGCCCGACTTTTTTTAACTTTTTGGATTAAATCGTTATCAGGGTCGAATATTATGTTTTGGGGAGCGCTTTTTATGAAAATGATATCGAATTTGAGATAGGGCAACCCGAGCCCCGACTTTTTTTAACTTTTTGGATTAAATCGATATCAGGGTCGACTATTATGTTTTGAGGGGGGGGGGGCGCTTTTTATGAAAATAATATCGAATTTGATATTGGACCCCCCGGGCCCCGACTTTTTTTAACTTTTTGGATTTAATCGATATTAAAGTCTATATTAGGTAATTTTTGGTCTATTACTGTAGGTATGTAGTTGATGTATAGTTGAGTGGTGTGTCCTAAATCCATATTGATGGTCTGGGCTTGTTTGCGTGTTTGGTATTATACCAATAAGTATTTTGAACAGTAATGTTTCGAAAATTTTGGAACAAATAGGAAGTAAGCTGATTGGTCGGTATGATGAAGGTGAGTTTTTGTCCTTGCTAGGCTAATGGGTCATTGTTATATGATAGTATTTCCATTGTAGAGGGAATTTAGTTGTCCTCAGTATTGCATTATAAATAGCTGTCAGAAGTACTAGAGCTTTACTTGGCATTTGCTGAAGCACTTCGACGATAATCCAGTCATGTCTAGGAGCTTCTCTTTTAGGCAAATTTTTAATTTTGTCAGCAATCTGAAAGGGTGTGGAGGAAATAGGAGGTAAAGTTAGTGGTACGGCCACGTCAAAAGTGTTTAGTGCATTGTTATCATGCTCAGTTAATTTATGAAGTTTGTAATGAACATCTGATTCACTGATTGTCATTGAATAAACAAATTAAAATTAAAAAAAAAATGTATTGTATGGCTCTACTTGAGCTGAGAAATTATTTAATATATTTTTATACTTTAAAAACTTCTCAGACTGCATTTCTAAAAATACCCCCTCCAAAATTGTACCGTCTTCAGTTTTTTTTACTACTTTTACATTATCAATAATGTTTTTTTTTTTTTAACTTTTATATATGAAGAAAGGGAGCACCTTTTTAAAATCTAAAATATTCCCTTCGCTATCTGCCTCGATTCTTCTTATAATAAATATCTTAAAGTAATATTTCTTAATGCTTTCATTACTCCCCGTAATGGAAATTTTAAATCCCCTTTTTTGCTTTCTAACGGACGTGATTCAGCCATACTACTGAATCTGATAGGGAAAAAATATGTAATAGCCTAAAATATAAATCACACAAAAAAAGAAAAAACCAAAACATTATATTCAAGAACAAAAAATAAAATGGAAAAATTATGAAAAAATAAAAGGTAAATTGCACTTATCAGTTGTCTTGCTTGATCCACGCGGGTTCCAATACGCACACGTTCGCACTCCTCTAGATCTCCAGTTTTCACCAACTCTAGTGCTTACGCTATACCTTATCTTTTCTTACAATCCATATCCTTGGCAGGTACTCAAATTGAGAAGTGAAACAGCCATACAATTGCTTAATAAATGACCGATTGGATACAACGATAATCTATTTTATTGTTTTTATCAATTCATCAATCAATCAACATACGGAAATCTATGTATTGATAGAAATTACTGAAAGATAGATAAAAAATCCTGTGTTTTAATAATAATACATGGACAGTGGGAAGTATGCTGGTTAGCTTATCAACTCATCGAAATATCTCCATTAACAGTCCGAAACTTTTATCGATTAGTGAGTTCGAGTTACAGTGCGATGCGAGGCAAAGCACAACGTAATGGTCAACGACAAAAATCAAAGAGACAACGGCAGTTTTTCATATATTAATTCACCTAGACTGGAGAAAGTACTTTTAAAAAATGGGTAGTAAAAAAAATAAGTGCAACATAATAATATTAATTTGGATTATGATGTGAATGTGTTCATATCTCACTATAATTATTGCCCATGTGACAGATTATTATATTTTTGAATAGACAATAAAATTAAAAAAATTGGATTTTAAGCTAATACTCATGATATAATCACATCTCCCGATCTAGGTGAATATTGGACATGTGCAACGTGATGGGGCCATGCGTGAGCTTTTGTAACATATAAATGAATTGGATTGGTCAGCTCATAATGGCATTGCAATGCTTGCGCCTGGCACAGAGAGTCGGGATCACCGTGCGTGTTAAAGAGTAAACTTTAATATTCTCGATTCTAGGGGACTGAAATGAATTTAGTGGCAGACCCAGAATGAATCTAGACCTCTCCACTCTGATTAGAATAGATTTGGTTGCACCTCTAGAATCCTCCTCTCCCTGTATGCCAGAAATGGCGAGGCACGCTGTTATAGAAAAAAAAAAGACGCATGGCTCTGTAGATGGGTAACTGAGTCAAACTTTCTCACGCCAAGCGCCTCACATCTCACGTATCTTCATTGATTTATCAGCTACCCAGCGGTGCGAGAAGGTGGTTTCATGGCGCAAGTTACGCCATAAAAATTTTTGAGAGGGCATTTTTTGGTGGGCTTTTGTATTTTTTAAGGGGGACCCTTTCGACGTGGTTATGAATTTTTGGAATGAAAAGTTCAAACCAAGGGACAAGGGAAGAACAGAACATTGAAAGTGTAATAATTTATGGGCTATGCTTTTTTAAAATCTACTTTAGCTTGCACTGTTTTTAAGAACGGTGAGTTAAGAAAGGTGAACAAGAAGATATCTAGGAAGGAGGGGAGGAGGTTTTTGCACTATCAACCTTGGAGGATTGGAGACCGCTGCAGCAACCAATTTGTTTATTAACAACTATCAGGGTGATGATGAACCTTTATAACAATATTTTATGAGTTAGCTGATTTTTAATATCACATTCTTTACTATTAATTAGTTAATACAGTGCTTTATAATAAATTAGAATTTTCAATAAATAATTTTAAAACTTTATTTTAATAAAATATTTTTATTAATGTTTTATATATTCCTTAAATTTTAAAATGAAATAATATTAAATAAAATATTTGGCGTTTGACATCATTCTCGTAAAAAATTTGAAAGAATAGATTTGTCTTCTTGAACTAATAAGTATGAGAGATATTTAAATTTAAACTATGTACATAAAAGCAAAATAATATTTCCAGGTGTGTCCAGAATGGGTGGAATGATGCAAGTTGCGGCATCAAAAATATTAAGGGGGCTCATTTTTAAGGGATTATGAATTGTTCAGTAGATCACATTTTCACGAAATCGTGGCTGATAATGGGGGGGCATATTTTTACAATTTAAATTATTCGAGAGAACCGTTTTTTTTTTCGAGGTTTCAATTTAGAGAAACGTTCAAACTGGAGAACAGTTGATATATTATACTACATACAACGGTTTGTGTAATTGTATAAAAAATACAATTTCGGCAATTAGGTCGGTTATTTCAGAAACAGCATATGTGTATTTTTTTTTTAAACCGTTTTTGTGTTAAAACTGTCAAAGACACATCTTTTGACGCAAGGAAACACAATACGTAAATTGGCTAAAAATTTATTATCCACACTATTTCTTTTTAGACTTTTACCTATAAAAACTTTAGTGTAAAATAATTAAAAAAATGTCACATGTATTGTTTCTGAAATAACAGAAGTTGATAGAGGGAAGTGAGCCATCACTATTAGCCAATTTTTAAAATAAATTTAAATACTAGTATACATTATACCTAAATTAGTCTTTATCACAACATAAAAATTTCTTTATTAATTTATGTATTATATTTGTTAATAGAAACATCGACGCTGTGATACTCCTGAATCAACAACACATGGTGAAGAGCTCAATGATATTCAAATTCGACTGCAGTTCACACGATCAACAGGTGATGGAGCAAGTGATTATGCATCACGAGGTCCACCCAGACAAAAATCAAATGCATTAGGTGTCAGTTCAGCATCACTTGTTTCCATTAGTAAACCTAATTCTACTACTTCTTCCAACATGACAGCATCTGTTGTTGTTAATCTTCCAACTTCCTATCCAAATTCTGATATTGAATATGCCTCTCCACCAACACCATCATCTCCAGTGCAATCTGACAAACAGGAAGTGAGGATCTCATTTTTATAATTTTCCTTATCTTTAAAAGAATAAAAAAATAAATAAATAAGCATGTCTGTTCCAGCATACGAATTAAGTACCTTTAAAAATGCATTTGTTATTTAAGTAATAAAAAAATTCAGTTTATTTCATACTTACATTATTTACTTATTCATTACTTTGGTTATTTCTTAAAGGTGTAATATAAAGAATAATGTAATTCATTATTTAAATTTTCATATGATATATGATGTAACATACCATTTTTTTTTTTTTTTTTTTTAATAAAACATATGAATTAAAAATATCTCAATTCAGTTTTTGAAGAATTTATGGAATATACAGTATTATTTTTTTATAAGGATTCAAGAAAATCTATTTTTATGAATTTTTTTTTTTTTAATATTTTTTTTATATATCTAAATTGAATATTTGCCAGGTAATATAATTTAAGGAAAAGGCATATTTGTATTGTTACCAATAATCATGAATCCAAACATTAACATAAAGCAACTGTTCATTATCACACTTTTCTTCTCAATTTGTTAAACTTTTATTAATGATACTTTATGTTCAAAAGTATTTTTTGTCATTTCACTAAATAGAAATAACATTTTCAACAATTATTTAGATTTTTTTATTGTGATTATTCTTCCTTTTTTTTTTAGTATAACAAATACTATTAAACTAAAATTAATTTATAATGCATATGTACAAAGTTATTTTTTTCTTTTCTATTATCGTCTTTTTTGTACATTATTGATATTAACTTTTTAATATTTAGTAAATATGTTAAAAATAAAAAATAATTTAAAAACTACAATTGTGATGTAATTTAAATTGAGTAATTTATTTATTGTGCCTCTTGATAAAAAATTGTGTACCCTAGTGTTTGGGGCATCATTTTCATTTTTTTTTTTTTTTTTTATAATGCCTTTGTAAATAAAATATAGTGTTTATCCAATCACTTTCTGGACTTTCAAATCCTTGGCATAAAATTCTAATTATGCAGTCGGTTATGACACAAAAGAAATAAAACACTGCTTATAAGTAACAATTTATTATTTTGCTATATGATGCCCCATGATTTAGGGGTATAAAATCACATATATTTCATTCATGCTTTATAAACTATTTATATCTTAGAGGCTAAATAAATTCTTAAAGCTAAGAGTAATATTTCAAGGTTAAAATAATGAATCGTTTTATAATAGACTATTTTATTTTCAGAATATTGGTTATATTTGTAAAATCCATTTTTATATCCAAGATGAAAACATGTGAGCTGTAGTACGTTATGAGTAATAAAACTTCTGATCTCTATTATCTCACATCATATAGTTATTTACACATTCAACAAAAATGATACTCACTTTAGTATGAAGTGCACTAGCATATATAGAATAATTTTATATTTATCCCTTTTTTATTTACATATATAATTTTTTCATGTTAAGTAATTATGTTAACAGTTTTATATCAGTGACTAATTAATAAGATGTAAGTTACTAAGTCTTAATCATGTATATATTAGTGTTTAATTCTCTAGGGCTGCTAAAGTTTACAGCAATAGCTATTTATCATTTATGGACCAAAAAACAGGTGTTCAGTCAGCCTAAGAGAAAATTTAGTGGTATTCATTGCTGAAATAATAAGTTTATATTTCTTTTTGGTACTTGTTTAGAGAAATTTATTATACAGAAACTTTATTTAACTAATGTAATTTATTATAATATCATTTTAATTTTACTTTTTATTCACTGTAGAGATCAGTAGTTTGAGAGTGTGTACTTTGAACAGTAAGAAGTTTTGTTAAATGTGTGAAAGTACAGACATTGAAATAAGTATCATCTTGTTCTTCCCTAGTAGACCCTCCATAATTTAAATTACTGTTCTAGATAATGCATAATTTTTATGAAGGTTTTTAAATAAATATTATTCTAGAAGACTGTTGTATGTATTTGTATATTAAGATTTTAAAAACAAAAAAAAAAATCCAGATTATCATACCAATACAAAAAAAGAAAAAAGAAAAAAAAACAGAATTTAATTAGTAAATATAATCTTAACTCTTGGTACAAAAGCTACTCTTGTACTGTTTAGAGTTATAATGTAACTTGAGCAATAAAACCAATGAAAATTAAGAATCTTTTTATATATAAGTAATATGTGAACACTTTCCTCTTTTATTATCAGTCACACCTTAGCTGTACTAGAGGTAATAGAAAAATAGTAAATTCTAAATTTTTATTTCATCTTCTATAAATTATTATAATTCTAAGCAGACCATCAAGTTTATAATGTCTATTAACTATTAATAATACTTTCATTCCTCGACCCTATAATTTAAAATAAAATACCGGAGCTCTTTGATTACATTGATGGTAGATAGATCTTACACCAGCCTTTAGTACCATTATGGTGCATTAGAGCTGCCATAACTTAAGATAACAGAATAGCAAGCAGTTCAAACTAAACAGTTTCAATAAAATGGAAGGCAAACTATTGATAGTTTACCTCTTCTTTAATTTTACTGAGTGGGGTGGAGAGAAGTTTGGGTTTGATGAATATCTGTTTTAATCTACTTTATAACAACAAATTTTGACACATTAATTCAAAAGTCACTGAACATTATAATTCATAATAAATATACAGGGTGTTTCAGGATTAGGTGGCCAAACTGAAAAAATGAACTAAGGACCTCAAAACAGAAAAAAAATTTCCTCTGAAGGTATACCCGCAAACGCTTTATTAAGGAGATATTCACACTTAAAGATTATCGTTGTTATGAATTATTTACGTTATATGAAATAAATAAAACCTATTTATTTGTTCTAACTACTTTATTAATTAAATGTAAACATTAGCATTCACATTAAATATTGTTGAAAGTGAAGGTATGTCCGCAAATGCTTTGTTTAGGAGATGGATTAGATAAAATACTAATATGGCCTTTTATTCCTAACTGTATAAAAACTATTGGCAACATAAGAATTAATACTATTTGGAATTAGCATAAATATAAAATATGGAGGAAATGAGCTAGTCAAGTGTCTCCGAATACTATTCCAAAAGGTTTGGGATCTCATAAAGATACCCATAGAATAGAAAAACAACATCATTATCCCAATCCATAAGAAGGGAACCCAAATTGTATGCCATATGTCTGTCATTGGTGGTATACAAAGAAGACACAAGAATTCTGGAACAAAGATTAAGGAAATTATTGGAAGAAGATCTGTAACTGGCAGGTTTTAGGCCTGGTAGGCAGACATAGGATAATATCTTCTCCCTGAGAATGATTGTAGAGCATGTATGGGATAGAGGTGAAGCAGAATCTCATTGCAACCCTAGCTTTTCTAGATTTTTGACAATGTTTCTAGACAGTAAATATGAGATGCACTGGAAGATAGGAGAATCCTACAAAATCTTATGAGTTCAATCAAGTCAGTTTACCAAGACCCAAAGGTCTAGGACTAGGCTAGCCGGCACTGATTCCAGGTCATTTCATTTCTTTAGGCTAGTTAAACAGGGCGATAGCCTGAGCCCCCTACGGTTCATAATTTTCATGGATGCCATTTGGAAATTTTTTAAAAGGAGAACACCCAGAGCAATAGTGGAATACTGTGTTGGCACCCCAGTGTTGGCACAGGCATTGCACGCAGATGATGTGGTATTGGTTGTGGATACTGCTGAATCACTCCAGGTCGCTGTGGATGAGTAGCAAGAAGAACTGCAACTCACAATCATGCAGGTCAATCGATCCAAAAATAACGTTATGTGTATTGAACAAAGGAACCAGGATCTTAAAATCACTTGCAATGAAGAGACCCTTGAGCAAACCGGATGGAAGAATAGACCAGGAGATCATGAATAAAGTTCAAAAGGCCAATGGAATTTACTACCAAATACCCATGACACTCATTGGAAAGCAGGAGTTGAGCAGTAAGTGAAGATTCTGCTATTCAAATCAGTTTTTCTCTCAGTGCTACTATACAGATCGGAAAGCTAGACACTCTTTGACTGCCATGCTAGAAAGGTTGTATCTACAGAAATAAGATTCCTACAGAAAATATTAGGAAACACCAGGGGAGATCGAATAAGGAATGAAAGGGTGCGAGATGAACTAGGAGTTAGATCCACCTAGAGACGATTGATGAAAGGCAGTTGAAGTGGTATGGGCATGTTAACAGAATGGGAGATGACCATAAGGCCAGATGGGTTCTTGAAGCAAGACCGGGAGGAAGGCGATCTCGAGGCAGGTCAAGGCTTATATATTCAGACTTGATTGAGAGAATTGTCACAGCGAGAGGAAGCACCATGCCAGAGATGAGAAGACTTGCACAGGACAGAAACAGTCGGACAAGATGGTCAGGGGCAGCTACTCCACGCTTCACAGCACACAGGAGATAGTGAGAGGAAAAGAAGAAGGAATTAGCATTGGGAAATCTCAATAACATTTATCAGTTTGTAAGAGGCTTTCACAGAGTACTCATCATTATACCTTCCATTTATACTAATGGTGAATATTTTGGGGTGAATATTGTTTGTATATTTGGGGTGAAATTAAACAAAAAGTCTATGCAAGTCTGGTCAATGACCCTAATTCCTTAGGAAGAAGGATAATTGAATCTTGTGAAACAATAACATATATCCAGTGCCGTTCTACCACTGCTGCTGTTGAAGAAAGATGTCGAGCATGTCTTAATGCTCAAGGAAATTCACTTTGAACAACATTTAATATGAATTTAATGTTTACGTTTTAATTAATAAAGTAGTTGGAACAAATAAGTTTTATTTACTTAATATAACGTAAATAATTCATAACAACGAAAATGTTTAGGTGTGAATATCTCTTAAACAAAGCGTTTGCGGACATACCTTCATGGGGAATTTTTTTCTTGTTTTGAGGTCTTCAATTCATACTTTCAGTTTGGCCACTTAAATCTGAAACATCCTGTATAAAAATATTACCCTACAACTCTCTTACAATGGTTCTCATTTAACCTGGCTGCCTATCTCACTCTCTCTACTTAATATTCATTATTATACAATAATAGTTTACTTTAAAAAAAAAATTAAATAAATGAAGATACAACTCTTTTTTTTTTTTGTCAATCTGAGGTCATTCAGGCCAAGCATGTTGTGCTGATCCTGCACTGTTGAGAACAATGTTGGTTAAATTCCCACCTGACTCATCTAAGCTGTAGTGGTCCTACAAAATGTATTTGACAAATCTATTCCAATTAGTACATGGCGACAACAACTAATGTAATCAAAAAGATCATTTGCCAGACTTGTTTTTCCACCTCCGCTAGTGTCAAATTATTTATTGCTGGCTCTTTTGTTTATGGTGCATATTTTATTATATTCATAATAGATACAGTTCCTATAACAAAGATTTGATTATGAAAGAAAAATAATCCTTGTTGGATTTTTCCCAAAGGAAAAAAAATTCACTAGAATTACCAAACATTTTGGCCTGTGTATCAATCAAAACTTCAACGTATTTTTTTATCCATCTTGCAATCTTTTTTTTTTAATTCAACAAATTTCATATAAAATCTTGAACTTCAACTCTCTTAAAACAAATTCAAACCTAGAGGCATGATCTAAAAAGGGAGCTCTTCGTGGGAGAAAGTGGAATGCGGATTACGAAAGTATATGTTATTTTAAGTAAAAAAGGATCCTGTCTACCATTCCAAAGCTGCTGATTGTGGAATGGTAGATAAGGTGGAATGTGTCATATTACCTCAACATAATCTTAAAATATTTTTAAATTTCTAAAAAAATATTTTAAAAAACAGAAATGGAATTTTTAATTTCGTTATAAAAAATGTTATAAAACTAGATGAGCCAAATTTAATTATAGTATTTCTAGGGTTCAACTCAATTATTATTCAAAAACTGTTAACCTATTTTTTACCTAGAAAGCTCTAAATGGGGTCATTCTTTTCATAAACTTGAGGACTTTGATTTAATGTATCATATTACCTTAACATAATGTTAAAATGAAGAGAAGAATAGTTGGAGTGATCAGTCAAATAAAAAGCCAAAAATAAATGATAATATTTATTTTGACATTTGCCGACGTTTCAACCTGAAGTTCAGACCTTCATCAGGGCTGTCTCCAAAAGTGTTGATGGAGAAGTGGAAATCTTAAAATATTTAAAAATTCCAAAAAAAAAATTTAAAAACAGGAATAGCCCCGTGATCTCCTAATGTAGTCATATCATTAGAGTGCTACCATTGGGTAGTTACTCAGCAAGTGTATTCATGTCATTATATCAATTATGTTCAAATTTACTTGATGTATTTATGTAATACAGTTGTAAATGTCATAAAGAAATAAAAAAAAAAAAAAAAAAAACAGGAATGAAATTTTTAATTTCGTTATAAAAAAAATGTTATAAAACTGGATGAGCCAAATTTAATTATGGTATTTCTATAGATTCCACAATAATTGAACAAGTTATAACTTTATTCAACTTCAGAGTATAAAATCAGTGATACAAATAACAAATTCAAACTAAAAAACAAAATCTTTTCAAAAACTATGAAAATAAAAAAAATAAATTAATTTAATCTTTAATGATTAACTTTTATGAACAAATAGTAAAGCTTTGTATTTTTATGTAAAATTTTGTTTTTAGTGTAGATATAGGTACACTGTACATTAGCGATATCATATATTTTATCGAAAAAGTTTGTTGAAAATGAAATATTTTTATGTCTCCCAGAATGAGCTTTTAAGTTCAAAATTTTTGGTCTAAAAGGTAGATATTTGAAAAACTTTATATATGAATACAAAGTAGTTGTTTGTTTAGGATCTAAGATATATACTAATTTTAAATCTTTTTACTTGTTTAAACTCTTTATGGTTTGTGAAATGATAACATTTTGAAGTAACAAAAAAAAACTATTAAATAGTGTAATATTTAACCGGAAGACATAACAAATATTTATTATTGAATCTACATTATAAAAAAATTGCCAAGTGAAATATAGGTGCACAACCTGGAGGGAGGGGAACCTGGAGGGAGACGAGAATATTGCTTCCCTCTCCCCCCCCCCCTAATATTTCAAATAACAAAAATTAAATCAAGAAATAAATTTATTCGGGGACCTAGT